AGACAGACGGCGCGAGCGAGCGGACGAACAAGACTGTGACACAATGTCTACGCTACTACGTCGACAGGAACCATAAGGGCTGGGTAAAGGGCCTTCCACGCGTACGTTTTCACATCATGAGTTGTGTGAACGCGAGTACTGGTTTCGCGCCCTTCCAGTTGCACCTGGGACGCTCGCCTCGCATGCTGCCTCCGCTGGTGTCACAAAAAACAGGTCCTGAAGACTCCGAAGAAACACGCGCCCGGGACCTACTTTCAAAGCTACACTGCGACTTACTAGAAGCACAGGACAACTTACTCGCCGCTAAAGCGGCTCAAGCTTCATCTGTTAACAAGAAACGCTCGCCACCACTAGACCTGGAGGTCGGGGACCGTGTCATGCTCGCAACAAAGCATCGAAGGCGAGAATACATTCAAAAAGGGGACAAACGGGTCGCTAAATTCATGCCACGGTACGACGGACCGTACACTATCATTGACGCGCACCCAAAAAGCTCGACCTACACCTTGGATCTCCCTAACTCGCCCAACATCTTCCCCACATTCCACACCAGCCAGCTCCGTGCCTATCATCCGAACGACGCAACTCTATTCCCTTCCCGCGAACATCCTCGGCCTGGCCCAGTTGTTACAGAAGATGGCCAACTTGAAAACTTCATAGAGAAGATCCTGGACGAGCGGAAAGTCGGTCGTGGAAAGCGATACTTGGTCCGATGGGTGGGCTTCGGTGAAGAAGACGACGAATGGCTTGCTCGTCGGGAGCTGGAAGATTGCGAGGCTTTAGATGTCTGGGAAAAAAGGGCTTCAAAAACATAGTGGGGAAGGGTGTAAGCACGCTGGCTTACCTACGACACCGATGACGCAGTGCTATGACGCAACGCTATGACGCACACTGTACGCCTTTGATGATTGGACACCGCAGATGTCTACTACGTATATATAGATACATACGTGCGCCCAGATACATTATCTCTTACTGTACTCTCGGAATCCCATACGCTCTTCCTTTCATCGCTGTCCGAAACACCGTTAGTGTTGTCGTCCACCGCGACGACCTTCCACTTTTTTTTGTCGTCCACCGCGATGAAAGGAAGAGCGTATGGGATTCCGAGAGTACAGTAAGAGATAATGTATCTGGGCGCACGTATGTATCTATATATACGTAGTAGACATCTGCGGTGTCCAATCATCAAAGGCGTACAGTGTGCGTCATAGCGTTGCGTCATAGCACTGCGTCATCGGTGTCGTAGGTAAGCCAGCGTGCTTACAGTGGAGAGGGAAGTTATGGATGGCGTTCAAAGGCCATGGGATGTTACGCGCGCTGAGAGTGAGGATGAGAGGGAGAGACGAAAGTGGGTAGTCTGGATGGTCTTGAGATGGGCATGAAGTAACGAGATTTGCAATGTGAAGTACAGTTCAGTCGTGCCTAAATTCGATACTAGGAGTACAACTAGTCATTAGTAGGAGATAATATTAGCGTTAATAAGCATGATCGTTATGTAACAGGCTATATGCATGATATAAATCTCATAGACATTAAGGTACGTGAGGGGTATGCTGGGGTGTCCCGAAGGTTAGCACACGGATGACAGTTTGACCGTCGCGTTCCTGTGACGAATTTTAGGGGCCAGTAAAAACGGAAAGCAGGAATACGTACGTTGTATAAGATCACCGCATCTTCTGTGGCACCAACCCAAGTGATGCTTTGCACTTGAGTGGTGCTCGTTTTAATAAACTCAGCTGCACCAGCCTTGAATATTTTACTGGCAGTAGCCCATTTCTCATTCCACGACCAAGTTGAGGACAGCGGCGCGATTGATCGTAGGCACTCTGCCGCATGGTCGTTAAGGTCGAGCACGTGAAGGCGACTTCGGGAATCGGCCACAAAGTTTTCTTCACTGACACTCTGGAAAAAGACCAGTTTTCTCCCTACAACCTCGAAGGCATGCGAATCATCTGGTAAATGAATCACCGTACAGTGGTTCTGCCATTCCTCCCATGGTAGAGATCTATCGCCAAGACTAGGTGGCTGAAAGAACGATTCCTTCATCACCAATGCCATTTTCTTGGAACATCTTGCCGGTATTGAATGGGAGGGGAATTCGACGAGGATAACAGTTGCACGTTGAGACGGATCAGAGTGGAAGAAAGTTCCCGCCGGAGGAGTAACATTGGGCTTGAGAGATGTGTTCGGACAAATTTGCAGAAACGATATCGCCTTCCACGATTCTGGTAAATCATATGATATCACCTGGGCTGAACACAATCGTCTATCATCCACTATATGGTGAATAGTGATTTGAGGGGAGCGCTTGCCACGTTCGTGAAGGTACAACCCGTCTGGTCCGCGTTCCCAAGTAGAAGCGGCAGATTCTCCACTATCGTCGTCCTCGTCCTCGTCAGGATGGGATAGCACCATCAGGCACGATTCGCTGAGGATGTCGAACGAGAGGAGGTCACCAGTAAACTGTCACAATTTAGAACCTGACGGGCCCTTGTGGACTAGGGGAACACATTACCCGCTGTCGTTGATCAATGCCAGTGTGCCAGTTGACTAGAACAAGTTCTGTTGTCCCTTCACCTTCCTCGACTCCAAGACGCACAGACAGACCAACCATGATTCCATAGATCTGGACCCGTTCAATGGAAATGCGATGGCCTGGAGGCAAAGTGCCCCACCAGTCTGTCTGAAATTGAAAACGTAGGTTTTGAGCCTGCGGGTGTTGCTGGCATGTCCACATATCAAGAAAATGAAGTGAAGCAGTTATGGGTCCATCCCTAGCGTGTTGGTCAGCATGGACGGAGACACCAGCCGTAAAAATCTTACTGTGAAGGAAAATGGAGTTCTGCAAGCACCAGAAGATTCTGAACAGGATCAATGGCGACCTTGCGGATTTCGAAAGGCAAATTGAATTTGCAATATTGTAATTTGGCAACCGGCGGTGTCCTGTACGAGCGCAGCTCATAGATATGAAGTGACCACTGGAAGATCCCGTGGTAAGAACTTTCGCTAGCGTGGTAAAGGAATCTTCCGGAGACGCCGACGATCGTTGGCGTTGGGATACAGAGCCTGTCCTCTGATGTCCAGTTTAAAGTCAGCCATCCTTTCCTGTGGCGGAGGAGCGGGTCCAGCCGTGCGCGCGGTGAACAAAAGCTTGAAATTCCGTCCGTCATACCAGACAAAGCAAGTTCGTATCGATATAGCAACGTCGAATAATTTACGACGATGATATGTATATATCGAGAACTCTATTAATGAAACGTTAAGCAGACGCACATTGACTGGCAACTCCGGCAATCATACCTTGCAGAAGTGCAGTAGTGAGACAGGATCGAGCTCTTCTAGAATAATTAAAAGGAGCTCCCTAGAGAGGCTAAAGAGGGACATGACCAGCACGCTGGTAAATAACGTGGTGTTCGTGAAGTTCGTTGCCTCCCGTTCTTCGTCTTTATAGTGCAAGGCCGCCCTGAGGTGCTTGACGCTGGTGACCAAAAGACAAAAGCATTGAGGCGCACAGTGTGTTTCGTCGAGAAGGATCCAAGGGGCAAGCCAACAGAGATCTTATTGACGCAAAACATCAGTACGTAGAGCGAAGCCATCATCCGGACGACGTGACCACACCCTCGGACAGTAACTGCCTTCTCCGTTCGAACAAGTTGGAAGTGGCGGGACCGAATCAAGTTTTGCAACGCTCGCCATGTCAACCATTGAGTGGAGGTGTCATCATTGTGATTTTGCCAAGATCTAACATAGGTTGACAATAACGAAGTTGGCTAGAACTGGAAAGAAAGACGGTATCAGTAACCCTGGAAATTTTGAATACTTATTATTTCATCCTATCGTGGGATGGTGTTCTAGCGACGTAACTTACCTCGGTGAATTTGACAACTAGAGCTATTAGTACTCTCAGACTGGTGAGGCGCCGTGCTTAATGAGGCCTGGTCTTGCTGACGTTGGAAACCGGCGGACATGATTACTAATGTATTACCAATCATTAGGCTATCCTTTGCTCGGTCATCCTGTCCAACGACTCGGACATCCATGGTCTGCAAGAAGTGTGAATCAGTATGTCACTGTTAATGTTTGATTATGAATGTGGGTCTCATGAAGTTTCCTTAGAAACTGTCCAAGGTTGCCGCTCCAGATCCGTTCACCTCCACATCCCAAAGTGTAAAGGATGGATCACGAAGGGTAGGCGAGAACAAGCTACTAAGCAGACCTGGGAGCTCGAAGAACAGGTTTCAGGTGAGTGAGTTATGGCCCTCCCTTAGCATGCACTTAGCGAGGAAATGGTTGTCAGCCGTATCAAAGCAAATGCAAGGATTGTAAGCAGCCCGTGACGCAAAATAAAGCAAAGTATTGCCACGGTGAGTAGCGCAGCACTATCAGGCAAACCTGGAGCTCATTCCGTCCTAGGTTGTGCATATAAGAAAGGCCTCTGCTCTATCTGCGGCAAACAAATATTGGATACGACTGGGTATGTGATGTCTGCAAAGTAATTGAAACCCGGTGTGTTGTACTACGAGATACCATTGTAATATGATATTTAACAATAATGTCGCACCTGGTGTTTGGAATGTGAGCGCAAGGGCCAATTCAGGACTATTACGGAGGTGCTAGCTATCATGATTCACGTATATACTTCTCATATGAGGTCAGTCGCAGCCCACGCTTGATTCCAGAGTCCGGGTGAACTTGACTGATTACTTCCAGTAAATATGATGTTCACTGTTAGAAAGGGACCCCGCTGGAGCGAATCAGCAGCATTGTTGCACGTTCAAGTTGTTAGGAAATCTGATTGTCGATGGCATTTCAATTGTCCTGCGTCTGCCCGTTCAGACAGATCTCCTTTAGATATAAAAGGTATGGAAGTCGTGGTGACCGCGCCGATAAACGGTTTCGTGCTTATGTACTGCGGAATGGGCGAGCTGGCAGCCATTTCTGGAACTTGAGAGATTCACGATCGAGATGTGAATTTCTCAAGATGAGTCAGTGTAAGCTGAGAACCTCACCAATCAATGCAGTACGACTTTTTTTTTTATGGCGCGGTGTAGAGCTACACGACTGTGACATAGACCACGTTTTTTTTGCAGTATCACGAGTTGTTCAGGGGCTACGAGTTACGTACGTCAACGTTTGAACCATTAAAAGACTTGCTGTGCTTGCGCCAACGCCTCTCTCAAGTTCGTTATCTTTGTCGCCTCTCCAAGTGTCGTGCCACAGCCATGCAGCCAGGAATTTACACATTCATAAATCGCCAGAGCGGTACAGCAATGGCCCTGAACAAACATGACTACACGTGTGTCGTCGGTGAGCGCCTCTCAAATGGCTTCTGACTGGGAAACATCTCATTTACAAACCTCTTGAATACAGGCTCTCCGCCATGTGATGATTCTGTCCAAAAGGTAATTGTGCCTTTCTCTTCTACATCCTGAGTAACGGGATAATTGTTAATTGCGAAATCAGTGGGAAATAGCACCTTCTGGAGCAGGATATACTATCCGAAATATGCAAACGGGGACTCACCTCTCTGTGAAAGGACTCACTCGCAATACTGCCGTCTTTGCGGGGCATTTTCCCGCAGCGTGGCAAATTATCGACGTGAAAGTGGATGCCGAAAACTCTCAATTGGTTGAGTACGTCCCTTTCTAGCAAGTACCGCAGGCTTGCTTTGACGTCACGAGTCAGAATACGCTGGCCGCATACAGAATACATGTTTGATTTGGCTGACTGGGGAAACTCTGCTCCTGGAACAAAGGTACGGTATATAGTCTCGACCGGCGTCGGAATTTACTTCATATTGTTGCCTTGTTCCAGGTGCAGCTCATGGACACTAAGCTAAATGCCGTACAGCATCGTTGTAGATTGTGGAAGCCCATTCTCATGCAACACACCCTTTACTCTGGTCTTTCGGAGCGTATTGACGACGACACATCAAGCACTACTACTATAAACGCTGCTGATGTGCCAGAGGGAGGGGAGCTCGTCTTGGTCACGACCACCACGACAAGAACAGTGGTGACAAAAGTTCCGAAATACTGAAGTAGGGGTTTTAGGGTTTCGGGGCGAGCGCAAGCTTCGAGAGCCTAGTTAAGTTGTGTAGCACATATCCAAAAGGCTGCATCGAACGAATCAGCGGCATTGTCGCACGTTCAAGTTGTACACTACTGTACTGCAGATTTCTTTCTAGAACTTCCTGTTTACAACGCTATTGAAATGTTCGGTCGGGCACGTTTCAGAAGGGTCGGTTGTAAGCTTCACCTGCCTTATGATCCTAGGAAACCTGATTGTCAATGACATTTCAATTGTCCCGCATCTGCCCGTGCAGACAGATCTCATTCAGGTATAAAAGGTATAGAAGTTGGGGTGACCGTGCCGATAAACGATTTCGTGCTTAAGATGTACCACAGATTGGGCGAGTTGGCAGCCATTTCTGGTTATACCTGGGTAGTGGGTATCATGCCGGCTGCCGGAAGACTGATATCTCAGCATTCGTGCCTCGAAGCAACAGAGTATGCACCGTCGTTAAAATCCTCACTGCAACAAAGGGCTAGTGAGGTAGCGGTGATTTGATAGCTGATGGAGATAAGTCGATTAACACGTACCAATTTTGATTGCTGAGAGACTGAGACGTGAATTTCTCAAGATAAGCTGTGAAATAAGAGAGAACCCGCGAGTCAATCTAGCACAGTATAGAACAGACTGCTAAAGTATGTCTGATCTACTCGTAATACATCGATACACGCTCGACAGGGTTTTTCCTTTTTTTGACTGATGTCTTGGATCCACGTTTCATTACAGTACCACGAGTAACGAGTTGTCAGGGTGTCCAGACTCGTGTACTCCACAACCCTTAAAAGACGTCTTTGCTTGCTGTGAACCTCTCTCAAGTCCGTTCTCTTTGTCTCCTCTCCATTGTGCCACAGTTATGCAGCCAGGAGTTTACAAATTCATAAACCGCCTGAGCGGTACAGCAATGGCCCTGGATAAACAGGACTACACATCCGTCGTCGGTGAGTGTCTCTTAAATGACTTCTGACTTAAAAACAACTCACCTTCAAACAGGCTCTCCACCTTGTGGTGATTCTGTCCAAAAGGTAATTATGCCTTTCTCTTCTATATCCTGAGTAACGGGATGCTTATGAAACCAGTGGGAAATAGCACCTCTCGGAGCAGGATATACTATCCGAAATATGCAAACGGGAACTCACCTATCTGTGAAAGAACTCTGTCGCGGTGCTACCATCTTTGCGGGGCATTTCCCCACAGCGTGGCAATTTATCACCGTGAAAGTGGATGACGAAAACGCTGAAATGATTGAGTACTTCCCTTTCCAGCGAGTGTCGCAGGCTTTCTTTGATGTCGCGAGTTAGAATCCGCTGGCCGTATACACAACACATGATTGATCTGGCCGACACTGGAAACTCAGCTCCTGGAACAAAGGTGCGGGTCCATAGTCTCGACCGGCGTCAAAAATCAGTTGACATTCTTATCTTACTCCAGGTGCAGCTCATGGACACTAAAATAAGTCCCATGTATCATCGTTGTAGATTGTGGAAGCCTGTTTTCGTTCAACACACCCTTCACTCTGTTTTGCCGGAGCGTGTTGAAGACGACGCATCAAGCACTACTACTATAAGCGCTGCTGATGTGCCAGAGGGAGGGGAGCTTGTTTTGTTTACGACGACCACAACAAGAACAGTGGTAACAAAAGTTCCAAAATACTGAAGTAGGGGTTTGAGGGTTTGGGGGCGAGCGCAAGCTTTGAGAACCTAGTTAACTTAAAGACGAGGTGTAGCACATATCCAATGCAACAGCTGTCCGGGTTAACCAAGTCCAATGGTATCAGTGGAGAAGATCCTGCGGAAGAAATCCGCGTGACTCCCATGTGTGCACTCCACCGCCCCTGTCACTGTGCGCATTGCCATGGTCAACGGTGCCGCAGTCCAGCCGCATCAGGGACGAGATGGGACGAGCTAATGTATATCTTGGTAAGTATCGGCGTGAATTTGAATGAATTTGATAATGTAGAGTGGATCAGCCAGGGATCTCAATGGACGCTTGTTGACAGCGCAGCGCATCGCAATGAGGGCGCGGTGTATACTAGCTTGCGCAGCAGTTAGCTCGGTGATCTCGCTCGACAATCAGTTCACTGATTGAACAATAATTTAGTAGCGAACAATACTAGCAAGTAGGCAGGGCAGACGAACCGGGGTACATAACAGTTGAACTGCTGTCGTCGGATGGCCTCGGTATGAGGGAAAAAGTGCCATGTGCATCATCATGGAGCTCAATATGACACATCTATTGAGATACTGGCAGGACGTTTTGATCGGTTTATTAAACGCGCTGAACAGCTGCTACAGCACAACTACAGCAAAGCTGAAGATGGTTGAGTTAACCGTTTACTTTGAAATTCCTTGCAGCAATCATCCAATTTAGGTTACATAATCATATCTCCCAGAACTACCTCGATTCGGGCCAACGCAGCAAGCTTGGCGGGGTGGGCCGAGCGAGTAATTATAATGTCCTCTTGGCGACTCATATTTGATAATCCTTGGCCCTTAATGTTACCCTGAGGGTCGCAGCAAACACGCACTGCCTGGGCCACCGTCGGGTACTATGAAGTCCTCATATTTAATTCAATCTTCTCTCCCTGTCTGCCAGAATCCATTTCCCTTCCTTGCGACTTAGGATGTTTTCGGAATCATCTCAAGCTTCTAAAGCTGATATAACCATACTCACAGAAGAACTTGACAGCTATCCTCAACAAGTATGGATTTTCATCGGCGTGTTTCTCTCCGTAGTTGGCTGCTTCCAGTGGAGCTCACACATTCACTCCAAATTCGCCAGGCGCACACACCATGAGTCTGACGAAGAAACGGCTCCTATCCATAACATTCAATACAAATTTTCACTCCGTCGTATCCCGCTTGCGTTCATAAATTTCTATCGCGTTGTTGCTTTCCGGTGGACCCTAGAAATAGGAAAGTCTTATACCCTCAACATGGCAGAAGTCTTTGTCACTGTGGCATACATCGCCCTTCTGTTGGCCTACGCCTTCATTAACAGTAAGCTCACAGAATCGTATGCATCCCTTTGATACTGCATTAACAACTAAATCTCACAGCCACCTCAGTCGAGGGTCAGAAGCTTGATGTCTTCTACTGGAGCAACCGCATAGCCGTTCTGGCGTCTAGTCAGTTTCCCATTGTCACGGCCCTTGGCACAAAGAACAATCTCGTGTCTCGTAGGTGGAAAGCTACGAATCCGATATGTTACTGAGTTTTTCGCAACAGTGGTCACAGGCATCAGCTATGATAGGGTATGACCCTTAATTATTTTCGACAGGGCAAATCACTCATGGGTATGAAGCTCAATTATATCCATCGAATGATGGCTAGGACGTGCTTCATGCTCCTTTGCATACATGGAGTGGGCGAAGTGATATATCCCTCGTACGTACTTCCAATTCATGCTTGCACTTTTCTAATGAAGTTTACCGAAAGCGCCCAGAACACTTCGAACAACAATTGGGTTCAGGCCGGTACCATTTCCCTGATTGCCTTCGCTGTTGTAATCGTAGTATCACTGCGTCCCGTCCGCAGTAACATCTATGAGCTTTTCTTTTACGTCCACTTTATTGGCGTCCTGTGAGTGCAGCACTTCTACTCGTTTTTGATTCTTGTTGACAGACAGAACGCAGGATATTTTTGGTGGCAGCATATTTCCACACCAATGGTATTTTGTAAGTGGAAATTAATACAGACAGTTAAGTCTCTGACTTGCAGCGAACAGTGGGTCGTACTGGGTATGGCCATCGTTTGTGATCTGGGCTCTCGATCGCTTCATCCGAGTGGTTCGCCTCATTGTGTTCAATCACTCTTACTTTGGCTTCAAGTCAGGATCTGGGACGATGGATGCAACAACGGAAATGCTTTCCGAAGACATCGTTCGAGTGCGCTTACGGCGACCCCCGCATTTCCACTGGTCCCCAGGACAAGCGGCATATCTAATCATGCCCTCGGTTTCGACGCTGCCATTCGAAGCGCACCCCTTTACTATCGCGAGTTTCGATTCTAGTCTGCTCTCAACCGCAGAAACCGAGGATCAATCGGGAAGCGGTGAAAATCATGAAACCCAGGTTCTGGGATCAAGCAATTCACTCTGGAAAGAGCTAGTATTTTTGGTCAATGTACATGGAGGGTTCACGAAAAAGCTGAAGGAGGTAGCTGCTACGAAGGGCACAGTTAAGGTGTTTGTAGATGGTCCTTATGGCCCGTCTGCTGACCTCGGTTCTTACGACACGTCTGTATTAGTGGCAGGTGAGTTATGTGTCGTCTCATAATCACACAGGACTTATCGAAGGCAGGAGGGTCTGGTATATCGTATACCCTTCCAGTCTTGCTGAGCGTTATCGAGTACGTGAAATAATTTAATCGTCGTCATTGATGTCTCATTGTTCCCACAGGCAGGTGCGCAAGGGGAAAAGCTCCTGCAAACGAGTGGTGTTCATTTGGTCAATACGCCAGGCTGGTGCGTAGATTCATAATTCATCCACAGTTTATTCTATGAACAATACTAATGTCATATGTTGTAGGGTATGTTCAATGGATCGAAGAAGCACTTATCAAGGCTGTTCAGCTTGCCCCGCCTTCTTTGACAGTATCCATCCGTATCTTTAACACTGGTTCTCCATCAACGACACAATCTATGGAAGAAGTTTCCGGCCTTTCAAATCCAGATCCAACAGAGAAGAACGTTACTTTCGAACAAGTTGTGACAAGAAAAAGTCCTTCAACGTCGTCAATGTTACTGTCGTTACGCGGAGTCAAGATGGAAAGTGGTCGATCGGACCTGGATGCACTGCTCAAAGAAGAGGTTAGCATGGCCTCGGGGCGTATGTCCGTGAGCGGTAAGCACCGATTCCGCTGGCCTCCAATCATGTGCAACTTACGGGGATTGCATTAGTTTGCGGATCTCATGGTATAGCACGCGCGGTCCGTCATGCACTTCGCTTCCCTGTCTCTGGACCTTCCAGTGTTCTTAGTGGAGGACCGAGCGTGACCCTATATGTCGAATCATTCGGATACGCATGATATTTTTTTTTTTCAGTGGCTGTCTGACAAGTACGGTGGACGATGGTTACGACTTATTTACAAGTCTGATCGATGTTTGTTCTGGACCTTCTGGTGCGACTATACCAAGTATACTTAGAGATAACATATTCACCCCAAGTTACTTAGCACAGAGAGATAATTGGGATCAGTACTGCTTGGCTCGCACCGAATCTCGAAATTTTTGCCAAGAAGATCAGGGATTGGACCGCAGTCGTTTGTGTGTCAGGCGGGGACCTGATTTGTAGATTAGTCAGCGGATAGCTCTGGCGTTAGTGGCCCAACACGGAAAGAAGCCCCTATATTTAGACATGTTCCGCAGTATTTGAGCCCACCCAATACATGTTGTTCATTTCGCAATCCACATACTGCAGTGGCTTATACCTGTACCTTAAGGTCGGCCGAGTAGCCCAAGCCATCAAGTATCCCACATGAGTGATATTATGTCGGTGCGACATTTGAACATTCTAGAAGGCACAACAGCAAATGAACGTAGCGTACAAACATCTCTTGTTCGTAGTCCGTGATACTGAGCTTGATCAACCTTTCAGTCGTAAATTTACGTAGGATTATTGTACATAGATGTGACATATATTTGTGCTAAATGGTAAGTATATCTCTCCTTGGTATCCTATATGCTAGGGTTGTGCCAGTCCGTCGATTTGCTGTAGCCAAAGTTGAGTGGATTCCATACACAATGCTTTACCGTGCTCTAGACTTTCATCTTGGCCCTCTCCTCGAATATCTCAACATCGATCGTGTCCGTCGTTATGAACCGGTGAATGCTGACATGCTTGATCTGCCCATACCTCCTCAGCCGTCCAATTGCCTGGATCTCGCAAGCGTCATAAATCTCCTGGCTCTGAGCAAGGAGAGGGGAAAGAAAGATTCCATGGTTGGCAACCGTCAAGTTCGCACCGCTGGCGCTCTCGTCCATGACGTTCAACAGAAGTACACGTTCTTTGCTGTCGTTCTGGAACTGCTCCAAGTTCTTGCTTTTCTGGGTTGCAGAGCCGTTGATTTCCAGGAACTCGATCTTGTGCATCTTCAATGCATGAGCGACTTTTGCCATAAGATCAGGGAACTGGACGAAGATGAGAACACGGTCCTTTTTCGGGATTTGGTTCCTAAGACCAGAGACCATTAGTATGGTCATAAAAGCACAACGGGACCACGTACTTGACAAGGTCCACAACCATCTCCAGTTTCTTCCCATAGTGCTTGCCACGTCCGTCGCGGGCTTCATCATCAACTCCCAGAGTTTCTCCCTTGACGATGTTGAGAGCACGAGCGGCAGCATTGCATTGACCCGAGGGATGGTAAACACATTCCTCT